AATAGCCCCGAAAAGATTGTATGGATTCTTGTGGTTATCCAACCTCTGCCACCATCCGAATACCGCAGGCACACAGCCCTTGACAGTGCTTTGTTGTCTTACCTATACTAGAAAGAATGCTCACCTGTGCTGATGAAGTGGAACAAGACGCACCAGGATAGTTTCTCTCAACGCTGTTCCGTTTAATCAAGGATAAAACTCTTTACAGAGATTATGATTGCGAACTAGAAACTTCGGCGAAACAAGTCGCTGATAAATGCAGTACAAGTCCTACGACAGTTCTTCCATCTCAAGTAAAGGAGAACATCCATCGCATTCCCAAAAGCAGCGCGCGCTTCCGAACTGATGCCATGGCAGAGGTTTGTTTATTTTGTGCCACATTACTGCAACTTGTGAATGACCGACTCCTTTAGGCAGTCAAGTACTGGTGGGGTCTGGTGAGGCGCGTTGACGGTATCGGAAGGAAAGCCATATTCAGACAAAAGCACGAGTCTAGCCCAATCAGACACTTCACTCTGGTGAGAACGTTTTAATATCGATCATTACAAAAGAAAGAGTGTACACAGACAGGGAAGGAGGATGAAAGTATGTAACGATGTAGATCTTCTAGAATTATTGCAAAGTTATTTGTATCGAATCGAAACACTCACTGTCAAATCTTATATTACTCTGTTGATCATGGACAATTCTCCTCAATTCCCTTTCAAGCTTCCTCAGTGCGTCTGGTTTATTCGATTAAGGGTAAGAGAGAAGGCGTATGGTGCGATAGTCCGTGCTGCCTGTGATGCCTCCAGTTTTTGTGTGTGGTGAGGCAAGCGGGGACTCTTGATGCACGAAATTTTGCGTATTGCTTCTCATGCCTCTTCACTCCTTTTGGGAGAACGCAAGGTTTTTCTTGACGTGAATGATAGTCGACCGAAAAGCTTCAGATGGCATGGGCAACCACCGAATACATTGGATGCGCTGTGTCGCTGTCGTGCCCCAGCGAGTGGTATATTGTATGTCACTACAGAAACGGGTATCGCTTCAGACTTGTATATTATAATATCTATCTCAAGATCTAGTTTGACAATTCACTTGGTTGTTTTCAGAGGTAATATTGTAAACGAACACGTTTACATGCCAGGTCCCACATGTTCAGACTGTCCCACAAGCTACCACTGTGGCGCAGACAAGTTGTGCACGAAATCTTAAACAGCCTCCATGCTTTTTTCTATAAAGGAAAATAAAGTTTTCACGCAGTTTTTGTAAACATATTGATTATCTGTTTATCTGTCCTAGTGTGATGCAGAAACTGCACGAAAACCAATATGAAGCTCCTTCTATATGAACTACTTTCTGAGTTTAGAAAACCAGGCACACGCTCTATTCGAAAAACTACTACACGCTGACAAGACAATAGTAGAAGCCATTTCATTAACCAGGACAGCATCCATTCTTTCCGTGAGAAGGCCTCGAAAGTCATCTAGGAAGGAAGCTAATTAATTGTGGGCTATGGATAGCATAACCTTGCATATTGACAATGGTATTTTAATTAACGTTTTTCTGAGAAAGCAGCAAAACCTCTCATGGGACCACCTAAGGAATAGTGGCATTTTTTCCAATCAGCCACTTGGGGTCGCGCCACCATGCATCGTCATCGGCCAGCTTTCTTCTTTAAGTGAGAGCAAAATCAAGCGAAAATTGGTAGTTCACAAAGAAGGCAATGAACAGCAGATAGTGAGGGATAACCGTGAGTTACGGTGATTCCTCATTTTCACAGGGCACATTCGTAGGGATCTTTCATAGTGGCGGTAGTGATGTTTAAGGCTTGTTCGTTCTAGATTTCCTCACACCACGGTTCTTAGATGGAATTCAATCCTACTGAATAAGCTCGAGACTTTTGAAATCTTAACGAAATGGGATGCGACTGAGGACAAGCACATTTGTCGCTTATTTCCAAATGGTTGCGCGAGTGCTCCTGCACTCTGTGCCGCTCCTTGACCAACCCGCTGCATGGGCATACTGTAATGGCGTGGGCCTCGCAATAGGTACGACCACTAAGCCGAGACCAGTCTCCGTCGTCACCCACGGTAGGGTTCTTCGGCCAAATGGTTCTTCCCTTCCTGAATAGGAACGAGGCTAAGCTATCCCAAAATGCTAAGGCTTCCTCATTTACGAGAGCAGGTCATCGGGACTCTCTGTCATGCGTTTGAACACCATCATCTGTTTACTTTTTCGTGACACGTCCATGCCCGCGTCCTTAACACAGCTCGCATTAGCCCGAAAACTGTTTTTTTCCTTACATAATCAGGTCTAGGCACTCCGCAGAGAGCGCCGTTGATTCACCGCTAGTCCCATAGAAAAACGGGCAACTCCGAGCGTCTGTAGACGTAAAGAATAAGGTGTTAGGAGCTTTATACAGGGTGCGCCAAAATTACGGAGACAACGCATGAGCAAACAATTTGAACTGATATTCACAGATGCTGTTTTCTTCTGTCCTAGTTTTG